GCTGCGGCGGAGTAGGCCCGCCAACAGCCCAGAAGAAGGCAAAAATAAACCACCCGCTGTTGCCACTGGTTGCGGGATGACACCTGTAGGTGTTTGCATTTTAGTTCCATGCCTTCCGCCAAGAAGCCACCTGGGCTGTTGGGTGTGGATCAGACTTGGTCCGTTTGGAAATTACTCTACATTCGAAAGAGGCACAGATGGGGGCGCCTGTCCCTCCATCTGGTGCTGCAGCTTGGCTCGTTGAACCGCTCGTAGAGTATGGTGGCGCTGATGCTGCGAAAGCTCAGTGCTGTCATTTGCGGTCGCACGGTGGCGGCACCTGGCGCACGTTGTGCTTCCTGGCGCTGTTGGCAACAATGCTCATGTATGAGCCGAGCCGACAGACCTGTAGAACATGACCACGCTGTACCATGAGTGCAAAAGGCCAGCTCCATGCCAGTCCCAGCTCGCTGTTGCAAATGCGCTGTGATATCGAGTTGTGCAGTCGGCGCATCTTCTGCAGCAGCCAGCTGTCAACAAGGGGCTTCTGGAGGTTCATGGACACAAGTTGTTTGCAGTTAAGTCTGACAGTCCTGCAAGCGAGAAGCATAAAGCCCATCATGACACCACGTTGTCAGACAGCTTCTTCCAAGGATGATCTTACATTACATGTGCGGACTCACGCCGTGGAGGCCATACTGAGCCATGCATGCTTACCCTCCGCCATACCAAGCAAGCCGCGGGAGGAGCTGCAGCCTGCTGCGAAAGCTAGTAGAGCTGTTGAGGTCATATGCATGCTAGATGAGTAGTCCTGTGGCCGATTGCTGGTGCGGCTTGCAAGCACACAGTTGCCACGGGTGGCTTTCGGCCAAAGTAGAAACTACTGAGGGATGTCCTTTCTTCCTCTTTCTCTATACCTATTATTTTCATGCCGTTTTCTGATTCAACCCGATTGCGATGGTTTCCGTCATCGATGCTTTTCTCCGACTATGACTCTTGCAGTGACGCTGCTGCGATTTCTTTCGTCATGATAATGAGGATTATGGCGATGATTCTGCTGCTTCTTGCATGTATACATGACCACATATGTATGGCACACGCACCCGTAAACAAAAGCACTTTCTTTGCTGTGCTAGGAATCATAAGCTCGCAGACAAGTGTTGGGCTTTCCTCAAACTTGGAGGCGCTTGCTGATGCTGCGTTCTTGTTTAAACGATTGTCTACCTGCAATCCGTGTCGTCAATCGCAAAACCGCACCGCACCATGCCACGCCCGAAGACTGAGCCGCCCTGGGCAGCCTGGGCATGTGGTGTTGGATGCTGTGGAATTGCATGTTGGATTTATGGAGACCACACGGAACGGTGAAGAGCTTTGCGACCTTCGCCAGATGAGCGCAAGCCTTTAAGACTTCACCGAAGCTTCTGCGAAGTAGCAATGAAGCTTCAAGATAAGATGGCCTGCTGCACATCTTGCGTTCTACCAGGGTTCGGAGCTCGACTTGGGTGTTTAGCATGCAATCCGCAAGCGAAGGCCGCTTAAGCAAGAGGCCCCAAAACCAGGCTATCACGAGCGGACTTGCAAACCCAAGCCGAGACTGAACTTGAACTCCCAGGCCCAAAAATTTTAGGGGATCCGAAATGTCCTGAGTAAAGTTTAGGGTTAAGACGGTGATGATGCGAGGTTGACGAGAATCCTGAGGGATCCAGGGTAATGGCTTGAAGCGCTGCACGGAGTTCAAGTTTCGGCAGGTGGACCCATGACAACTCACAAGGATGTGTGATCAGGGGAGGGTTGTTCAGAACCAGTAGTTTTTATCGAGATCTAAACACACTGAAGCCTCGTTGCAGGAGCCGGAGCAGAAGCCGAGGAAGGTGCGGGCACACATGGAATTGTTTCAATGTCCAGCGTTTAGCGCAACTCCGTCAAGAGGGAGAGGGAGGAACAGCGCACGTCTTGGTTTTGGTGCCAGGTATCACCACGGCTATCAACCTCCTCCAGCTTATGCTGCTCCGCCTGGCTATCCTGTGGTAAATGGAGCTCCGCCACAGGCACCGCCCGGGTATGCCCAGCCTCCACATGCGTACCCGCCTCCTGAGTATCCGCCACCTCAGGCAGGCCCTCCGCCTCAGTACGCTGCACCGCCAGACCCCTATGCGGCTCCCCCACCGGCTGCCCGGGATCCTTACCGTGACCCTTATCGAGATCCGTATCGCGATCCCTACCAAGACCCGTACAGAGAACGCGATCGGGACCCTTATCGGGATCCATACAGGGATTCGTATCGGGATCCGTATGCTCCACCAGCTAGTGCTCCGCCACCCAGTGCTCCCCCACCCAATGCTTACCCGCCAGCACACGCTTACGGCTCCCCACCAGCAGCATACCCGCCACCAGAGTATGCAGCACCACCCCCTCCAGGCTACAGCCCTCCACCCCCCAGCTACGGTCAACATCCCCCACCACAAAGCGCCCCGCCACCAGCCGCTTATCCTCCCGCAGGATATGCACCACCACCACCGATGCACTATCCACCACCAGCTGCTTATGGAGCCCCGCCTCCTGGATACTATCCTCCCCCTCCGAACTATCCACATACCCCACAGCCGGGCTACGGGGCACTGCCGCGACGGAGCCGATCCCCCGGCCGACTCCGTTCTCCGCAGAGTGCCTCGGCATCATGCAGTGTCATGCATCATCGCGTCAACTGCAGATGGAGGGCATGTACCAATGTACCACGTGCAGTGAGAGGACTACGCCGGATGCTGAAACGGCCTGAGCGGCCTGAGCGAAAGGCCAAAGCTAAACCAAAGGCAAAGGCGCAGGAGAAGAAGCCACCTCCGGTTCCTGGCTTGCAATGCTGAGAGGCGAGACGAAGCAACTCCTGACTGCTGACAGCGGCCGAACAGTTGAGGTCAAGGAGGACGGCTCAGCAATGACTCCCAGAGAGATCTCCGACGTCAAGGAGGCAGAGGCAAAGGCCAAGCGCGAGGCCAACCCGGAGGCCGCTGTGTTGAAACAATGCAAGTATAGGAAGCCAGTGTTAATCCAAGACTGTCGGCAAGCAGCAGGAGGGTCGCAGGAGGAAGCCACGGCAACAACCTGTCTTAATTTTCCGGTACAACGCAGATGGTGCTGACATCTCTTGATGTCCTTGTTGTCTCGGTATGCTTCTCACCGAATAGCAGCGCAAGCACGCTCTTCCCTTCCGAGGCCACGCGGGAGGAGAAGCCTTTGCAACTACTCGTGGAGAGAGCAGCGAATCCAAAGAAACTAGCTTGATGTTAGGATCTGTTCTTCATGGCAGCCGCGCCGGATCTGCCGGAAAGTCTGGAACAAAAATCTCAGAATCACGTCCTGGACCCAAGGAGCTGGATCCCTTGCATCGAGGATGTGCATAATCGTGCTTGGACCCTTGGGAGTTTATGGCGTGTCCCCAGAGTAGACCAGCAGAGTTCGGAGTTCAGAGCCGCTCTGTTTTTGCTTGGCGTTGGATTTCGCAGTTGCAATCGGCAAGCCTAGGATGTACATGTGCCAAGAGAAGAGTATCACCCAGCAAGACTTCTTGGACCTGAAATCAAAAGTGGATTGGTTGGAAATTCACGGAGCATCAGCAATGACGCGCAAGACGATGTGGCTGGTGGGTGAGGGCTGCAGGCGGCTTTGGGCCCGAGTAACATGCTGTTCAGGAGGCAGGGTTTCCAAGTGAGTCAGTTCTCCGACAACATGCAGGTGTCCGTACAACTACGGCCAGCAGCAGGTCAACGCGATGACCTTTCCGGATTGGTTCATGGTCATGGCCAAGCGATGGCTGGAATGCCTCAACTTGAATGGCGAGGACTGCAGCACTACACCATTTCCGGTCGTCACGCATGCTTCCCCCTGCATTGCAGCAGGACAAGGATGGGAGGTTTCCAGATTGCGTGAACCTGAACCTGTACGAGACGGGTGACCACCAGGTTTTAGTGCTGCTTTCTACATAGTTACCCCATGTGCTTTCGTGCTTCTGCGCGCAGTTGCGGATAGTGATCGAACCATTGTGCGGAAGGTTTCATGGCATTCGGATGACGAGCCGCTGTTTCGGGGGAAGTTTCAGGACGGCGTCGGCTGTATGCTACACTCGTCACTTCATTCGCATATTAATTGGCATGCATGAGCCTGCTTCCAGGACGCCCGGATCATCTCGGTCACCCTGGGAGCGATGCGAAAGTTCCAGGTGGGTCTCAAGGCGCCCAGAAGAGGCGGGATCTCATCGGCTCGTTGATCACGAGGGAGGCTCAGGCTGAAGTGCATGTGGCCAGGCGGCATCTTGAAGCCCGAGAGGGGCAGCATGTGCAACTTCAACTTGGGCCACGGTCAGATCTGCACCATGGAAGGATGCCTTTAAATGCTCCACGCGCATCATGGTAGTCGCAGCAACGAAGTGCAAATAACCTTCGAAGACTTTACAGTCCCAATGCAGGACTCTTCCAAAAGCACTACCTGCACCAGATTGCAAAGGGGACGACACGCCAAGCTCGCATCAACGCCACTTTCCGATACATCCAGGAGCATGCGGAGGGTTGCCCTCTGAGGCGAAAGAAAGCTTGAGCCGAGCACCTGGATATGTTGGCAGAGGCATTGCGCGGGAAGGCAGAGCCTTTGGACGCGATTGTGTCACTGCCACGCACTTTTCAATCTCGTCTCCAGCCTCTCACAAATCAGGAAATGTGCTTTGTGCAGCAGTGCGGCAGCTCCAAAAGGGAGATGCTGCAAGATGGACCGTTGGCCAGAGTTTGGAGGCATGCTGAGAAAGTGGCAGCCTCCAAATTTCCCCCAAGCTTCCGGTGTGGATTCGTGACTGGGTCCCCTTCAGAGCTCTGCCTTGCATCGAGGCTGGCAGAGGACGCTTTTATAGAGCTTAAGAACAGGATGTCAAGGCATGTCAAAGCAACGCACCGTGGGCCAAAAACAGTGCTCTGGCTCAAGAGTGCCCTGCCCTTGCTGTGCTGCCTTCGTTTGCGCGTGGCCGAAGAACTGCAAAGGCGCCTCTTGCAAGAGTCGAAGCAGCGGCTGAAGCACCAGCGGGCGCACGCCGTTCATGCCTCAGGGCTGCAGCTTTTGGCACGCGGCCTGACAAGATTTCTCAGTCCTCAGCCCTCAGGCGGTCGAGGTAGCGTTATCGCAGTGGGAGAAGGGAGAGACGAAGGGCCTGATGGACCCCAGCTCAGTATCGGGTCGTGGTGCGGTCCGGTGGATGTTGCTGCAAGAGCTCAGGCCGTCGTCGTCAAAGACTGGCACAAGTACCAGGTCACGGCGTCAAACGGTCGCATGATCCGTGGGGTCCTGGACTTGGAGTGGCAAAGAGAAGTAAGGCAACTCGTAAATTGTAGTGCCTACCCAAACTAGCCTAGACGTCGAAGCCGGGAACGATCAGAGAGTTCCCTTCACGTCTGGTTCCAGGCCGGAACGTTGGAGGAGCGCAGACTGAAGGTTGCGGCGTTGCAGCATCGGCTTAGCTGGGGATGCTCGAGGTAGTTAAGCCTTTAAGCAAAGCATGACTATGACTATGTCAGCCTTCCTTCCTTCTTCCCGGTTGTGCTCGAAGCGAGGAGAAGCTCCTCCTGGCGACCTTGAGATTGTGCCTGCAGGGCACGGGCCCTCATCTGTCACAGTGTCGGGCATAGCGACATAGCGGTGGATTCCCGAGGATGGCGAGGCCACCTCGACATCCAACATGCTCGAACCAGCGCGAAGGCGCCTGGGAAGAGTTTTTCTGTGGACGAGTCACATTCAGAAAAAAAGAACACACAAACACACCTACACACACCTCCGGACCGGAGAAGGAGCAGAAATGTCCTGCTGGTAGTGATGACCAACAGGAGCTTCGCGAGAGCCTGGACATGCAGAGGCCGGACCTAGCGAATCATCACACCAATTGGGGTTTTAGTCTTCAGGCATCGATGGACCGTGCAGAAGTCTCTTTTGCGAGAGACGGCCGGTCCTTGTCCTAACATGCCAGAACACTCGAACGAACCTTAAGTCCTCTGCGAAGCAAAGCAGCTCCGGCAGTGCTAAGCTACCTCGAGGAGCAAAAGCTGGCAGGACAGATTACGCGTCTACTAGTAAGCGCTTTCTGCCGAAGTGTGCAAGTGCGATCCGCAACCATCGTCTCCCCTCGTGCTGCAGGCTGAACTTGGAGCCGCCCTCAGCGAAGAAAAGCGCCGCTCTCCACACGGAAGCAGAAGCGTTAAGCAAGACGTGCCGTGCCGCCGTGCCGGAGTCGAGGTCTTTGCGATGTGGCGCCTCTGCAACCTGGAGGAGAAGAAAGAGCAGGCAAAGCCTAAGCAGGAAGATTGGACCGCCTTCCCATTCTTTTCTCGGGGCAGGCTTTCGGGCAAGTCGCCGAAATAAGCGCTATCGCCTTCGAGCTCCAGCAGGTCTCGGATTCCTGCTGTACTCGTCTGTGTTAAAAGCATCTGGTGTCAAGGCCCAGACGTCCCTTCTGGAAGACAAGATCCTGCTAGAAGGCAAAGTGGAGAAGGCCTGGATGCTGTAGTGCTGTACGTCCGCAGTGCCGTGGTGGGGCGGTTTTTTTCAATTCGAAGCGAGGCCTTCGAGGCCCTCCAGAAAGAGCTTCAGACAAAGGAGGCCTGCAGAGCCGGGTAGGTCTCCATGGTCCAGAAGAACTGCAACCATGCTGGCAGGAGTTGGCAGCTGAGCTTCGGGAGGCATACAGCAAGCAGGCCGAAGAGAGAGTAACACCACCGCCATGCGAAGTATGACACTACAACGTGTAACGGCCACTAGCAGTCGCACGTACGTGCGCATGTATCTGCCTGTGTGCTGCTAACCCCAGGCAGTACATTTTCTTGTTAACCAGCAGCACCACCACCAGCAGCACCACCACCACCAGCACCAGCACCACCAGCACCAGCACCACCAGCACCACCACCACCAGCACCACCACCACCAGCACCACCAGCACCAGCACCACCAGCACCAGCACCAGCACCACCACCACCAGCACCACCACCACCAGCACCACCACCAGCACCAGCACCAGCACCAGCACCAGCATACAACGACCACGGCCACGACCACGACCACGATCACTACGTCTACTTCTTCTTCTTCTTCTCCTTCTACTACCACCACAACGGCGACGACTTCTACTACTGCTGCAGATACAGCTACAGCTACTGCAGCTGCTGCTCGCGCTAGTGCCTACAGCTTCAGCTACAGCAACAGTTACCGCTGCTACTTCTGCCACTGCTACTGCCACTGCTACAACAACAGCAGCAAGCAGTGCTAGAACCACAGCCAGCGCCAGCAACGGCACCAGCACCCCAGCACCCCAGCACCCCAGCACCCCAGCACCCCAGCACCCCAGCACCCCAGCACCCCAGCACCCCAGCACCCCAGCACCCCAGCACCCAGCAGAACCCAGCAGCACCCAGCAGCACCCAGCAGCACCCATCAGCACCCAGCAGCACCCGCAGCACCCGCAGCACCCGCAGCACAAACAGCACCAGCAGCACCAGCAGCACCAGCAGCACCAGCAGCACCAGCAGCACCAGCAGCACCAGCAGCACCAGCAGCACCAGCAGCACCGGCAGCACCGGCAGCACCGGCAGCACCGGCAGCACCGGCAGCACCGGCAGCACCGGCAGCACCGGCAGCACCGGCAGCACCGGCAGCACCGGCAGCACCAGCAGCACCAGTAGCACCAGCACCAGCACCAGCACCTGCAGCAGCACCGGCAGCAGCAGCAACAACAACGGCAAATACTGCTTCTATAGTTAAGGCAGCATTAGATTTTGAGAGTTAGACTAACAGGCATGACATTAACAGTAATTTAATAGTCATACGTACTCTGAACATCTCTGAACCGTCCAACAAGAGCAGCAGGAATACTCATGATGCGTACGCGTGCGATTGCGGCAACAGTTCTTGCAGCAGCAGCCGCAGCTCCATTTTCAAGAAAGGGAACAGTAGAAGCAACACCAGGAAAAGTCATGGGGGCTGGCCCGGAAGTCAACAGCAATCGTCAGAATAAAGCGCAGTTCCCTGCCCATGGGAGGCACACCGTTCTGCGCTTCTTCCTGACTTGTCTTGCTGCCATGATTGTTGGCACTCCGCAGCTATGATGTGCTTGCCCAAACTCGCCCTCCCTTCACTCTCGTCGTGAGGTGTCGTGAGCATGCATCCTCGCAGCCTGTGCAATCCGGGTTGATGAAGAGTGCTTTTCGGTTGAGAGGAGGCATGCAGCAAAACATGTGGCAGCGATGAATCCGATCGATGCCGTTTCTCGGCCAGTATCTCAGTGCTTTCAAACCTGGAGCCAGGCCTGCCAACTTGACCTTGAGTCCGGGAGTCCGACGCCCCAGTTTTCGAGAGGGAGGCAGACAATCCGTTCTGAAGATACCTGCGACGGCATCGTTTGCTGAGGCCATTGCGCACAAGTCCTCTTTCAGTCAACGAGCTGCAGCGGACATTGCCGCTTCCATTGCCTCGGCAAACTCCAACAGGCCGAGGTCCGGAAGCGTGTCAAAGGGGTGCAACGTGCACGTGATTGCGCTTGTGCACGCTGCCACTGCCTGCCACCAGGTCGCGAGAAGGCACGCCGAGGGCTGACGTCGTGAGCCGAGTGTGCGGCCGCATCGCTTAGCAGCGGACATGCCAAAAGAAGCAGCCGAGGCAGAAGGGCCAGGGAGAACAAAGGCGCAGGATTTCCGCACGTTCTGGTCCGCCTGAAACCGTACCGGGCTCTGCAGGTTTCGCCCTTCTTGCCAGGCATAGCCGCGCCCCGACCAGAGTGAAGAGACTCGTTTGTCCTGGATTTTCTCTTGCAGGTGTTTCGGGCAAAAACGGGACATCGGCAAGTTCCGGTCTGCTTTCCGAGCTTGGGCCTTGAAAAGCTTTCACCCTGGTCTTCAAACCCAGTTAGCCAAGCTACGAGGCTGGACTGGGATATGGCCTACCCGCGAATCGAGGAGATGCATCGGACCTGAGCAATGGCGTGCAAAGGTGAAGTCTGTTGGGTCCTGGCATGCTCGTGTGCCAGTCGACAGCTTATGGGGCCCGCAGATGACAGAGCCCACGAACGTTCGACACGGGAGAGTGACTCCAAATGCCGACAAAGCGCGTGCAGATTGGGTTTGAGCCTGGATCTGTCCCACTGCTCAACAAAGATACTGCAGCAGCCCGCTCTCACGACTCAATAGATTTCTGTAATAGATGGGGTCCGCATGGCCTCGAGCAGTGCCTTCGGCTGCCAGCTGCGTGCTGGTTCTGCAGCCGTAGACCTTGATCTGGAAAGCGAGGAGGAGGGCAGCCCAGCAATGCACCAGAGCTCCATTCGCGTTCAAATGGAAGGAGGTCTACCTGTGAGACAGTGCCAAAGTAGAAACGCACGCATTCGACCAGGAGCAAGTATTGCCTTGCAAGAGATTGAAGGCCAGCCCGGAGCGCAACCTTGCAGAGCGAGGTGCGGCAAACGCTGTGCATTGCGAGCCTTTGAAGAGTCGCTTCCATCCTCTCGCTCAAAGAAAGTAGTGTAAGCGAGTCGCCATTATGCTACCTAGGCCGGGATGAGCCAGAAGCGAAGACAGACGTGGAGCCCACTGCCGCGACACGTAAGACGAAAGGCCATGCTGCTGACAAGGCTTTCCGGCTAGTGTCCCGTGCAAATTATTGCAGTCGCTGGAAATCAAAGTCTGTAGCAGAGGCATTCAGATTCGCATTTCACATCAGCTCAGACACTGGCACGATGGTGCGCTTTGGCGCCCGAGAAGTCGCTGCGTGGTTGCGAGTTGACGATCGCCGCCCTGGGAGCTACCGCCGGCAGCCGCTGCCCGGCCATGTCAACTTCGGACGAAGATTACGAAGCGCAAGGAAACACGCCCCCCCTTCAATGGTTTCGAGATGTTTCGGATCAGGGCATTCGCAGACAGCATGCAAGCCAGTGCAGAGGCTTCTGCATCTGCTATTGGTAGCCAGAGGCGTGCAGCTGCGCTGCGGCTTGGTCCTGCTTCTCCGAGGCCGGAAGTTGTTGTGCGTGTTGTCCATGACTTTTGTCAGTTCTCAAGGGCTTCAGGGACTGAAGGCTTAAGGGTTGTGTTTCAGTGTCACCGTTTGACATGTTTGGCTCCGGACAGTCGGCGTCGCAGTGCTGAGCACAGATGTGCCACTTCCCAGCTAACGCACAACAGTCTAGTTTCAGCAAACGTCTGTCTGTCTTGGGGTAGCATTTGCAGTTGGCTTGCCGAGGCTACTGTCTGGAGCCATGCTAGAGTCCAGGGAAGCATTCGTCGCACAGCAAGTCCAAAATCCTTCGATCTCAGAGCTGGATTTCGCACCGGACTGTCCTGATCTGTTGTGCAGGCGATGTGCCACCCATGACCGCGCACGAGGTAGGACACTTCGGTCGGGCTTTCGCCGGCAGTTTCACTTAGCTGCGCTAACAGCAACATGTACGCACCTAACGAGACGGTCAAGCGCATGGGAGGTGCCAAAGTGCTCAGGGATCCCGGGATCCCCATCCCCCTCACAGTCCCCCGCAGGTCGCATTGCTATACCTTTTTCCATCAGGCCGTGGCGGCTGCTAGTGCCCTACTTCGCGCTGGGGATCCGGCGTCGGAGCTGCACCGAGTCTGTCAGATTCCTCTTGGTGCCCGTGTGCGCTGCGACGGGTTTCCCTTGCCGGAGGTGGCTGCAGCAAAAGCGCTCGGCCATGCTTCACCGTTGACGGCCACTTCGGGATAAATTGTGTGCCGAGTCAAGTTCAAGGGTGTTTTGATCTTATATTTTATTTTATCTTCCGGGCCAGCATTGCTGTGGGTAGACCCGAGTCGCAAGGTGGATGCAATGGTCCAAACGCACGTTCGGCAAGTCTTCCAGAAAGACTTTCAGGCCTTCGGCCACAGGACGTGTGCCTGATGTAAGTACCTGACTGTATACTGCGCGAGAGAGAGAGAGAGAGAGAGAGAGAGAGAGAGAGAGAGAGAGAGAGAGAGAGAGAGAGAGAGAGAGAGAGAGGGAGAGGGAGAGATCCAGAGAAGTTCGCGACCCACCCCTCTGGCCGAGTTGAAGAAGAAGATCCAGAGAAGTCGTTTGTGTGAAGCCCGCTCTAGTAGCCAAGTGCCTCCGCCGCTGCAACACAAAGCCTGAAGACATAGTCGGTCGGGGTGGCACAGAGACGCCCCTCAGCAGAACATCCACCGAGTGCCGGCGAGCAGCCGGGCATGAGCAGAAACTGATAACCTGTTCCACAGAGTTTGTAATGGGTATGTTGTCCGTTGTTTCGGAGCGTGTCTTGGACTAACAAGCTCAGCCTGCGGAGAGCCTGAACAGTAGTCGCACGAAAAACCGTGCAAACCTCCAACAGAACGGGCAGCTCCCGCAGGGACTCGCCCTCAAGCCCGGGGAAAGAAAGAGAGATCCCCCAGAGCGCGAAATCGCGCGAGGGGCTTCGCGACTGCGTGGACCCCTCTGTCTGTGCACAAGAGAAGAGCGAGAGAGAGAGAGAGAGAGAGAGAGAGACCTTCACATGCTTATATGCATTGTATTTCATACGGGGGACCTCGACCAAAGCTACCAGTAGAATTGCTTGTGTCAGTAAACACCAGTTACGAACCCAGCCTCTTCATAGTCCAATACACATCTTCATGCACACTGGGGGACTAACTGGTTTTCTCACGCCTTCCCAAAGTCCCCATAACAAGTGGGGGGCCCATGAGGCCGGAGGGCCTAAACAGCCCTCTAAGCCCAGCGGAAGAAGAGACCTTCACCCTTGACCCGCCCCGTATGCCCTGCAGAAGAAGACCGTGAAGGCCCACAGCCCCCAGAGAACCATCACCAGACACTTTCGTAGTCGGGTGCGTCGCATTTTTCGTCCCTCCTGGAAGGGCCCCGTACCGAGTCATAAGCTGCAGCTGCCTGCTTTTCAGCCCCGGGACAGCGCTTAAGCACGCAGAAGGGGGAAACTAGGTAGAGCTCACTGGAAGTGGTTGCGTGTTTGGTGTTCCAATGTTGCCTTGAACCTTCGTGTGCAGCTGCATGGGGGAGCTGCGGTTTCTCGTGCAACAAACCTCACCGCGTGGTTGCCATAGGGGCGCGGTGACGAGGCGCGTTGGGGGTCACCTAGTGTAAAGGGTCGGGGGATTGCTGCACAGAAACCTGGACCAGCTTCTGTAGTTCAATGCCTCGGTCAGTAGAGACCGCAATGCCGTCCACTCAGTAATACAGCGGGTGGACGGGCGGGCCAATGGCCTGAGGGTCACAACCGTGACCCCTAAGCCCGGCAGAAAGAAAGAAAGAGAGCCCACGCCTTGAGCAAAGCAAAGAGAGAGAGAGAGAGAGAGAGAGAGAGAGAGAGAGAGAGAGAGAGAGAGAGAGAGAGAGAGAGAGAGAGAGAGAGAGAGAGAGAGAGAGAGAGGAGAGAGAGAGAGAGAGAGAGAGAGAGGAGAGAGAGAGAGAGAGAGGAGAGAGGGAGAGAGGGAGAGAGGGAGAGAGGGAGAGAGAGGGAGAGAGAACGAATTAGTTGGAAGACTTTTTGCAAGGTCATGTTCGTTGTTTAGCCCCTGGCGACTCTCCTGTAGCTCGACTATGTGCTGTGGACTGACCGTGGAGCGGTCAACATCGATGCAACAGATACAATCAGTGTTGCAGTCGTATAATCCCAGTGAATGTCCCACAGTCGCTTCCTCGAGTTACTGAGGGACGAATGCATGCGTCGCAGCAATTAATGATTGATAACCTCCGACCTTCCATAATAAAGTTTCTTTGCCGTCGGGGGACAATCAATCAATCATCTTTTCACACTCCTCCAAATGCCCCATAACAGATGGGAGGCCCATGCGGCCGGGGGGTTTAACTCGCCCTCTATGCCCTGGTGAAGAAGAAGAGAGGGAGAGAGATACACTGAAAACCAGGAGAAACAACCGAAAGCCCAACAAACAATGGGGGGGGGCCTGGTGGCCGAGGGGTTTCGCACACCCCTCATGCCCTGCAGAAGAAGAGAGAGAGCGCCATAGCCCTGGCGAACAGAGAGAGAGGAGAGAGAGAGAGAGAGAGAGAGAGAGAGAGAGAGAGAGAGAGAGAGTGAAAGCTCCCGGGGGACATTGTCGTCCTTTCGTTGCGATAGTGTGTCTATGTTTAGGGTCTATGTGTTTCTGGTTACTGTCTTCTATGCGTCACCTGGGGGAACCATCCTAACACAGCATAGAAAACATAGAAAACATGGTCACAGGGAGCAACCAATTTGTACTGGATAGCCTTTGTTTACTTGTATTATTGCTGTTGTCCTTGCTTCTACAAGCTCCACATGAACCATGCCCTGCCCGTGTCGATGATCCCGAAGATGCCCTGCTGATGATTTGTCCATAGTACTGATTCTGGATTTGCACAACGAGGGCCACCGGGGTACAAATCCTGCACTACATAAAGAACCGTGGAGCGGTTCAACGTGTCGCCCCAAGTGGGAATAACAGCTAGTAGTGTAATTTATGCACTGTTGTGTACGACAGAGGGGACACGAGTACTGTAATTTGAAATGCATGTGTCGTGCAACCGGCTGAGGAACCCTGACCTTTCATAGACCAATATAACTCTCTTGCATGTCAGGGGGACTCGCTGATATGTCACGCCTTTCCATATGCCCCATAACAAATGGGGGGCCCATGTGGCCGAAAGGCTCCGTACGCCTTTCATGCCCTGCAGAAGAAGAGAGAGAGAGAGAGAGAGAGAGAGAGCCTGGAGTACCCTCTTCACCACTGGCACACCTCGCAGTCTCACACTTGGTCGGCCAGCCCCCTCCACGCTGACTCTCTCGTTGTGTTTTTTGCAATAAAGTGGAGGGAGGGGCACCCGCTTGAGTTAGGCTTCAGGGTCGAGCGGAAGGTCGCAGGCAGTGTCGCGCGGGGATCAGGTTTCCGTTCGGGATAAGGCAGGGAAAGGTGGGGCTTAGGTACAAAGCAGGGCACACACTCAAAGGGGGCA